CCTCCGGGGCGACAGTTACCTATAACCAGGCCTAGGAAGCCCCTCTCAGGGCCACCGAGGCATCACCTAAAAATCTCTCTCTCCTAACTCCGTTCTAGGAAGCCCCTCTCAGGGCCTCCAAGGCTCCTCCTAACCCAGGCCTCCAGCCGCTCAAACCAGAGCCCTGGCAGCCTTCCGAGCGGAGAGCAAGAACCCCCTTCAGGGCTCCCTACCGCTCATCCTATTTTAAACCGCCTGTCGCTGTAGGAATTAAGATTTCTACCATTACTCATGCTATCGCCCCCGACACTCCCCGAAGCACAATAAGACTCACCGCGCCCTTGATCGTAGATGCCAAAGGGAAATCGCGCCGGCCGCGACAAAGCACTCAAACGGATGCAGCGCGAATATCATTGGCGGGGAAAAATCGACCCGCGCGAATTCACGGACCCGCGCATAGTCCAGCCGACGGGATTTTATCATCCCGTCCCTGGGAACTCCCAGGATCCGCCGCCACCGCCGCCTCTACCCGCGAGACCGACGCCGACGGTCCTGGAAATCGAGGCAGTTAACGGACAGTTTGTTTCGACCCGCGATTTTATATGGAGGACAGTGAAATAAAATAACGCCCCTAACTCTGCGAACTAGTATTTTTTTTTCTTTCTTTGTGATCGTTATCTCCCTCTCTTAACCTCGCGAACCGTGATTACCGCCCTTGCCGCTCGGGGCGAGAATCACGCCGAGCCGTCGTCGGACGAGCCCACGCCGCGTCCGAGGGACATCCGCACACACGCGTCCCAGGACGTGACACGAGCAAAATTTGTATTGCGTGTGAACCGAGTAATGCGATCATACTGCGTTTATCTTATGACAATTACCTTTTTAACATTTCTATCAATTTAATTTCTTCTAACTAATTATTTAAAATTTTTTCTGTTTTTTTTTTCATTATTTGCTAACATTCCTTCCATTTTTTGAAATTCTGTATTCTGTCTCTCGTTGTAATTGGGTATATGTATGTATGTATGTATAATGTCTTTGACAGAAAAAGAAAGAATCGAAATTCTTATTCTGCGAAGATGCGGCGATAAAAAAAGATCATACCAACAAGTCGCCCGCCTATTTAATGATACTCATCCAGATCGTCTACCCATTTGCAAATCAACTGTTTGTAAAACTCTTTCTCGGTTTCATGATATTGGCTCTGTCAAAGATCGACCAAAAACAGGGAGACATTACAAACGAAGACAACAATTTAGCGGTCTATGCAAGTGTTGTTGAGAACACCCATACTTCAGTTAGAAAGATTGCGCAACAAACTGGTATCTGCAAATCGTCTGTCCATGAAGTATTAAAAGCAAATAAGTTCCATCCTTATAAGATAAAATATGTGCAAGAACTTTTGAAAGACGACTTCGATCGCAGATTAGAATTTTGTGAGGAAATGATGAGACGGTGTGACGAAAATGAGTCATTTCCTTTTTGGATATGCTTCTCCGATGAAGCTACTTTTCAGTTGAGTGGAGAAGTTAATAGGCACAACATGCGATATTGGTCAGACGAAAATCCCTATTCGATGAGAGATATCCACACACAACATCCACTGAAAATTAATGTTTGGGCTGGAATTTTGTGCAATCAAATTGTTGGGCCTTTCTTCCTTGAAGATAATTTCACAGCTGAGAGGTACTTTAATTTATTGAATAACGAGATTATACCGGCAATCCGAAATATCTCTGATGTAGCGTTTGACAATGTCTGGTTTCAACAGGATGGAGCTCCGTGTCATTTCGGTTTGATTGTACGCAATCTATTGAACAACATTTTCCCCGGGCGTTGGATTGGTAGGAGAGGTTCGATTGAGTGGCCACCGAGGTCACCTGATCTAACTCCTCTGGATAATTTTTACTGGGGTTTTTTGAAGAATAAGGTGTACGAAACAAAGCCGACAGACATCGATGAGTTAAAAGAAAGAATAATCGAATGTTATAATACAATAACCCGAGAAACGCTGCAAAAAGTTAATGATAACTTCTATGTACGATTGGGATATTGTCAAGTTGCTGAGGGACATCAATTCAGTACATCTCATTCAGTAGTTGACATACATACATATGTATGTACATATTTTTAAAAAATCGAGTAAAGGAAATAAAAAAAATTAAACTTAAAAAAAGAAATTAAAAACATTCTGAAAAAAACTAAAAAAGAAAAAATAAAAAACAAAAAAAAGATTTTCAAAATCGTCCACCTCCTCGCGGTGAGAATCGGGAAACTTTGAAATATTCAAAAGCAAAGGACGCTACTTCAAATTTTGAAAATTTGGTCTGCCATTGTAGGTACGTCAAGTTGACTTTTTGGATTCTGACTTCACATTCGTAATCAGCGATCCCAAAAACCCCCGAGTAACAAGTTCAATCGAATTCGGGCATATTTTTTTGCAAATTTACTCGCCGTACGTAAAATTTCGAAAAATTTTGAGCTTATAGGCGCCATTGTGAACTCAAAATCGAAAAATGAAAATTGTATACAGTATACGTTTTCGAAGTTTAACTATCGGGAACACGTTTCTGATACCTTATTACATACAAATGGACCTTCTGATACTTGTCTACGTTCTTTTCTGCTAATTGTTGGAGGTTGAAATCCATGTCGAAATTCAGCACATCTCGGCGTTAAAGGGTTAATACGACTTTTTCTGCAGAAGCGAAATCTGCAGTCAAACATAGGGGTTTTCTCATAAAAAATTTTAAAGTTACCTATCCTTTCACTCTCCAGCGGATGGTAGGTGGGGGGTAGAATTTTTGTGTCAATGGATAGCTTTCTTGACAACATTGAATTAGAGATGTTATTTCGATTATCGATAAGTTATCAATAATATATCGATTAATTTCAATTTATCGATAATGCCGTTAAAATATCGATAATTTCAAACTTATGCATTTATGTATTTTTTAATAGTTTTACTTATTTTGTCACCAATATTGAGAAAAATAATTTTAATATACTGTTAGAAAGAGTTTGTGTTAACATATTTCACACGTCTCAAACGCATCTGAATAGTTGTAATATAATAAACTAAAAATAGTTATATTAAACGTTGTATGAACAATATTTATTTTTTATTTGAAAAATAATTACAATTTTTATATCTGTAGAACATACAAATAACTTTAATTAATTGAACATATGATTAACATTATTTGAAAAACTAAAAATCAATTAAACATTTCTTTCAAATTATTCTTAATCTTTATTAGCACTCAAAACAGTGAGCATGTTCACATGCTTCGGCTGCAACCGCGTCCTTCTATCTAAAAGAATTTGTCCAGCTTCTGAAAAAACCCTTTCACTGGGAACCGACGTAGCTGGTATACATAGATATTGTAATGCAACTTGCTGCAGGTTTGGATAATTTCTCATTCCCTCTGTCGTCCATCATGTAAATGGATTACATTTTCTATGAATTACTTTGGAATGTAAGTACCTATATACAATCAAGTTTTTTATATTGTTGTGGAGAGTAGGAGCAATTATTTATTATATAAATGTAATATCTTACTATAACATTACGAAGTAATGAATAATTTTACCTTTGTAATTCTCGTTTTGCCGAAGAAGAAATATTATCGGTGCCTGTCTCTTTAACTGTTTGATCAAATGTTGCCAATAAAGTATCTGTATCGCTGTTCGAAATTTCATTATTCAATTCTATTAACTCGGTATGTTCTTCAGAATTATTACTTTCAACATATGGATTCTCACATTCGCATAATAATTTAGTTTTTGCTATTTTAATGCATACTTTGGATTTAAACACAACGTTTTTGAAACGAGGATCCAACAATGTTGCAATAGCATAAATAGAGTTTGTTTCAATATTTCCAAATCTTTTATCAAGTTCACATAACAAATTAGATCGGAGTAATTCAACATCATTCGATAAATTCAAAGCTTTTAAGGCAGAATTAATGCATCCAAGAATAGGTATAACTTTTGATATGGTTACATAATGTTCACCAGACATTTCTTTAGTTGCCTGATACACTGGTTTTAGTACATTTACTATACCAACAATCATTTCCCATTCTTCATACGCAATCAGAGATACATCTTTTCGTGCTGTGAGAACCGCAGGCAAGATATTTCGCAATTCAATTATACGACTTAACATGAGGTACGTGGAATTCCATCGTGTTGGTACGTCTCTTTTCAAACTAAGAGGAGTAACTATTCCTTGACGAATTTGCTCTTTTCGTAATAACTCTGCTGTAGTGTTACTATTTTTAAATACAATAACAATATTTCGGCACTTTTGAAGAACATTAACAATTGAATCAATATTCTTCAATGCACTCTGAGCAACGAGATTTAAAGTATGAGCAAAACAAAAAATTTGATGCCATGGTGACATATTTATTGCGCTAACAATATTGCTACCATTATCACTTACAATAACTTTTATTTTCCTTGATATATCCCAAGTTTCTGCCATTTCAACTGTACTATCTCGTAAATTTTGAGCAGTATGACGTTCTGGAAAATAAGAAGTTTGTAAAACGCTATCACAAAATTGTCCATCTATAATGTAATGTGCAGTAGTTCCAAAATATAATATTTGTCGATGAGTATCAGTATAAATCTACTGTAAGGTGAATACAATTAACTTTTGATAAAGATTTTTTAATTTGTGCACATTTTGCTTGGTACAGTGCAGGCAATAATGTAGTGCTTAAAATCTTTCTATTTGGTAACTTATATCTTTTATTTAATGAATTCACAAATTTAATAAATCCGGTATCTTGTACCATTGAGAATGGACGAACATCCTCCACTAACATTTGTATTAGTGATTCAGTAATTTCTTTAGCACGCTTTGAATCAGCAGGATATTTTAAGTGATTTTAAGTTTTTATAACTTTTTGCTTCTGTGTCACATTTGGATGTCTTTGAAGATGTAACTGAAACAGATTCTTCAACATTCGATGTAGACGGTACAGTTGATTGAGGTAAAACACAAACAGGTGCATTCATTTTAATTCGTTTGCTTCTATTTGTTTTTACGCAACATTCTGTATCTGATGATTCCGAAGAATATTCTAAGATATCTTGATGGTGAATTTTTATATGAGACCATAAATTTGTAGTATTATTCGAATGAAGTACGGCAGAATCGCAAATATTACATTTGGCACTTGTCGTATTTAAATCACCGTTACATTCGGTAAAGTACGACCACATTATGCTCCTCTTTGCTCGTGTTCTACGTGACATTTCGATTCGAAGAAAGTATAAGTAAATGATATATATAACGATTACAAAGCAACTGATATCTTGTTCTGTTTCTCTCGGTTTATATACAATATTTTGATGGCGCTGGTGTGCCAGTCTGCCGGAGCTATTATACTCATATGTTTATAAACATATACGGTAACTCGGGTATATACGATTTTCATCGGTCGAAACTATCATAATTGTCTAATAAATAAAAATAAGAATTGTCGAGCAGTTCAATATTTTCATCAGGATTTATATTTACTTATCGATATCTAACAGATATTATCGATAATACATGTTATCGATACATCATAAAGTATATCGATAATTATCGACAATTTTATCATTAATAACACCTCTACATTGAATACGTACATTTTTATTTTTTTTATCCTTTGAGTATTTCTTGAGATATTTTAAACGTTTTAGACTCATTTTTTAATTTCGCTGATTACAGTGCCATCTGTCATCAAAAAAATGTTTGTAATAGGTAAAATTTATGTCACTTTTTCTGAAGAAGCGAAATCTGCAATAAAAAATGGGGGTTCCCATTTAAAATTTTAAACTTACCCTCTCTTTCACCCACAGCGGGTGGGAGTGAGGGGTCCTGTTAGATGTCAAAAGATAGCTTTTTTGAAAACATTAAATACGTATATTTTCCGATTTCTGATCCGATGTGTATTTCTCGAGATATTCGACCGTTTCCACACTTTTCGGACACCCTGTATATATAT